ACCAAAATTTTAAAAGTAAAGTAAAACCAAAGCTGAAATTTCTGAAACTCCAGTCTAATTTTCCTCTGAAAATCCAAGGAATCTAAGTAAGCAGGTTTACTAAGATCCCCTATGAGGAAGAAAAAGATTTCCTTCATAAAATGTTGACTTGACCCATAATAGGATAATGGATGTAGCTTATTCAGTTTGAACCAAAATTAATACTATTTTGTATAAGAGATATCAGTTAATAGCAATTTAAAATGGTATTGTCAAATTTGTGTTTATGCAGTCCCCTTAAAGACACTTTCACAGCAAAAACATTTTATCATTCTACTCTTCGCTCGCATGCAGGCATTAGTTTCTGTTTTAAAGAACAAGATTTAGTGCAGCAAATATTTGGCCACCACAATTAGGGCAGATGGAAGATTTGGAATGAGTGACAAAGTAAGGGGGAGGGGGAAAGGGTTTTTCTGGTTTTTCTCCCCTTCTTCCCCCCCCTTGCTTTTTCCCTCATCTCAGTTCTTCTCCTCATTTACTATGGTAACTGAATATTTGCCATGCCAAAACACAAAGTACCACCTGCAAGCAGGCTATATGTTCTTCTTTGCAGATTATTATATAGCAAAGTAGTATTGTCTAAGACCCTACCGTGGGATTCCCACTGTTGTTCAGTGTATCCACCAAATACATAATTTCCATGCTTTGCCACTGTAACTGTTGGTCCCTTATTATCACAACATGAGTGAAAGTTAGATGAATTCCACCCATTGCGGGAGGCTCTGTACAGCAAGATGTAATCATTGCTAGCATTTGTCATTGTATCCTTCAACCAGTCCACCAAGGTTTGCCGTTGAACTGATGACAAGATCAAGGAGTCCTTGAAAGGTCTTGCTTTAAGCTCATCAATTATTCCTTGAACTTGATAAAATTCTGCTTCATTGAGCAGCTCCTTACGAACAATCTTGTCTTCAGGCACAACAAGCTGCCCACTACGAAGATAGTTCAGGATGTAGCGGAAGTGGGTTCCATCTCGATCAATGAAGTATGATCCATCCTCACTGGGCTTTGTGTCAAATCTCCCAGAAAACATGGCATGTAACATAGAACCTAAGGTTGTAATGGAAAAAAGACTTAACCTTACACCCCAGCACAGTACCTTTGTTCTCCTTGGTCCCTCAAGGAGAATTCCTTTAACAATAATGTAAAATTGAAGAACAGCTCCCCTAAACTCTTCCAATTTCAGGGGAACAAAATGTGTCAGTCAGATACTATACATCAAGTTCACATAAGTGATGATTGATATGGCCAATAATGCCTCGCACTCAAAATTTACATCTATCCCATGGTGTTTGTCAAAATTCATTTTGAGGTATTTGTGAAAGTTCAAACTTACCAAGATGACAGTCTATTTACTCGTGTCTGAATTTGTTTTCATTGTGTTTTGTGTTTTGTTTGCCAACAGTCAGCCGACAGTTGGCCAACAGATATTTTGGGGAGCTGTTCTTCAATTTTACCAACAATAACGCCTATCAGGTTGGCGATCACTTCTCTTATTTTCAATACCTTGATCCTTTACACTCTTGTATTGATTTCATGTTCTCCAAACTGTTTTCTCTACTTTTCCTGTGGTATTGAAGAGAATTTGTTGGACAATCAGGAGCTCTTTTAATCTTAAATTGGTGGCCAATTCCTTAATTCTCAAGGCCTCTACATTCTATTCAAGGAAGACACTGGAAAGAGAAGTTAAAACCCAGTCACTCTTAGGGGTAAGAGGGTAAATCAATGATTCAAGGGTACAACTGAGACGAGAAGATGAACACCTTAGGATTTAAAGATGAACATCCCTAGGATTTAAAGTTTAGAAAAACTAAGAATGCTTAAAACATTGCACCATGTTTAATGTGTTATGACTGATTCCACTGGAGGTCTAGGCTCGGTTGTTCGAAGGCCGATCAGCGCTAACCCATGGTTAAATTTTAATATGGGTTTCTATATCTATCTGTTCAAAAGCTGTTTAGGGACAACTCTTTTTAAAGCATTTAATAATGAAACTGTAAACGAATGGAATTAAACTGAATTTTCTTTTAACGCTTTCAGATCTGAAATCAAATTTCACATTAATCCGGAGTTTTCTTAATCCACCTTTGAACAACTCGGCCCTGAGCACACAAACGAACCAAAACAATTCAAAAATAGAGGTCACTATGGTCCTTCGTGTTCACATTTGATTTTTTTCCCATTTGATACAATATAATTACTGACATGTATAATTCTAATGTTGAATAAAGAAATTCAATCAAAACCTCTACTATATTTCTTCATGTGGCGATATACGATACAGACTGTGGTAAGATTTCTGCACAGACCCATAATTCATTCTGCATACATCTCTTAGATCCGGATTAGCAATGGCGAAAACAATAAATTGCCTTTGGGAGTAAGGTTTTGTTTTACAAAACTGATTGTGCGGAAATCTTTCTAAGACAGCTTTAATAAAAGCGTACCTGGATCTCTATTCAGTGTTGCCACACTGGTTGAAAATTGGTGACCACCGACGTTAAGTTGCACCATCGTCGAAAAATGGACGTGCTCCAGCTTCTTTGCGACCTTGTCGAGCGATCGCTTTTCCTTGCGAACTTTTCTCGTCTCACGCTTCAAGATATCGAAAGCTTCTTTGATGCGCTGGTTTACTTCATCTAAAGCTTCATCGTAGTCAGACAAGTCTTCTTCTTCGGAATTGCGCGAGGTTAACTCGAACGAAGACATCTTTGTGGCATAGAATCTGCTATGTCAGGCTAAGTAAGTCACTCACACCAAAACGAGATTTGCCGGAAGCGGAAATTAGTCACGCTTTATT